TGGGAATTTATTGTAAAATTGTACAATTTTACAACAAATTGATGAAATGAATGAAAGCATTACTGACTCTTTGAAGTCAAGTAACTCGTGTTATTAGATTGTTCTTGTTCCTTCTATTTATAATTAAATAAGGATTAGCGTTGATTGTAGCATGATTGTGTATTTAATCAAGTACTTATGCAAATTAAAACCTTCCGTTTCTCAATACGGCTACACATACATTTTATGCTATTAAGTGCAGCTTTGTATCAAATAGGAACAAAGAATTTACAGACATTTAAAACAACATTGTTAGCCTTCCCTCTTCAAAAATTTGCTCAATATACAAATTTAAACAAGTCGAATATTTTTAAAATAGAAATATGGGTAACAGAGAAGCACACTGTCGATGTGGTAAGTGGATGCTGAGACCCATTGACAACTACAACTATCCTAGGTTAAAAGTCCAAATACTGATATAGTGATGCCAAGAAACAGGGTCTAATTCGACAAATATTGTAAAAACTAATGTTTGTTCGTATTTTACGCGCAGCCATACCCTTCATCAGTTTGGGGTAAAACTTTGTCAACTTGTTACTTGCACTTGTTCAAAGGTTACAGTTACAGGTATTGTAAAATTAGCTTAAATAGATGGTGCGTGTATCGTACCGACAAATTTATTTGAAAATTATAATAAATCATTCAATTTCCATTAGTATACTATCGTTCCTAATTAAACAACATAACTCTTTCTTTAAAACGATATTTCCACTATTATTTCATCTGCGGCAGCAATGCGCCGGGCACCAGCTAGTTTGGAATATATTCCATTAGCTTATAGCATTAGCTGGTAAAGATGCACTAAATGACCGTTTATCCCGTAGTGAATTTTCTTTTCTTTTTTAAAGAATATGGGTGACAAACGAGTACACAGTCCATCTCACAGTAAGAGGATGCTGTGGCCCATTGATACCGACACCTTAAACTCAAATTGCACGTGCATTTTGATTTTTGATGTGTTGTCAACCCTAAGGACTACAACGGAATACCTCGTTTTCAGAAAAACTATACGAAGCACAACTGAATGAAGCTGAATAAAGCTGCTATTTCTATTTCCTAAGCACTATGCTCAATGACCTCAATAGTGCCTCCCAACGGAAAGGTCTTAAGATGAACGTGGACGAAACAAAGATCATGTGTAACGTCCTTGTCACACCTATGCCGGAAGTTGTTGAGGGCACTAAGCTCGGAGTTGTTGACGAGTATGTTTGCCTGGGAAAATAGTCCGACTAGGTAAGTCCAACTTTGACCGAGAGATCAATCGACGGATTCAACTCGGCTGGGTAGTGTTTGGGACATTAGGACACACCTTCTCGTAGGCCTAGACCTCAAAATCTGAAAACGAGTCTGTACAACCTGTGCGTGTTATCCATGACTTATGGAACTGAGACGTGGTCCCTCACTGCTGGCCGTATGAGGACGCTCAAGGTCGCTCAGCGAGCTAAAGAGAGGGCTATGCTTGGGGTTTCTCTGCGTGATAAACTTAGAAATGAGGATATCTACAGTAGAGCCAGAGTGACCGACATAGCCCAACGGATGTGTAAGCTGAAATGGCAATGGGCCGGCCATATAGCTCGAAGAACCGACAACCGATAGGGAAGAAAGGTTCTAGAACGACAGCCTCGTACTCGTACCGGTAGGCGAATTGTAAGGTGACCCTTCTACTAGATGGAGTGACGACCTGGTAAGACATGCAGGAAGTCAATGGATGCAGGTGGCTCAAGACCGTGCTTTGTGGCATTACTTGGGGAGGCCTATGTTCAGCAGTGAACTTGTGAAGGGCTGTAACGATGATGATGATGATAAGCCGTAATACAAGTAAAAAAAATATTGGGTCCACAGCAAACGGTAATATATGTATTCGACGTATAAAACATCTTCGATGTATTCATTTAAAAGTTTTTCTGCTTTTTCAAAAGGCCAAAGCCATATGCTATTTTCACACGCAATAACTGGCTGCGACACGACGTTAGCACTTTTCAGGAGGGGTAAAACAACAGCTTTTTAATTGTTCGAAAAAAAAATTGTGCTATAGTGTGTGAGTAACTCTACTCCGCAATCAGTAATCACCAACGGAATTCGTTTTCTTTATTCTGTATACTGACCTCAAAAAAATTACCTGCTAAGATAAGTTTCGATACTTTTGTAAAAATTACACATAATAGAAAAGGAGTGCAATTAGCTTGTATTCGCCCAACATCTGCTTCTGCTCATCAACGTCTATTTCAGTTATATTATCAAACTTAGGTGTGGCTTGGTAATAAACTGGACCAAAAAGACGGGTTAGAGGTTAATTGACAATACATTGGAACTATTTTTTTATATGACAGGGTGACAAACTAGCACACAGTCTACCTGATGGTAAGTGGTTGCTCCGGCCCATAGACGTCTACATATATCCTCGATTACAAATTAAAATGCAGATGCGTTGTCACCCGTGAGGACTAAGATGGAATGCCTCGATTCCAGTAAAAAGGGTTCAGCCTAAGATACTTCTTAAAAAGGGTTCTCTACACTCACCATACGAAACACAGCAGCATTAAGCTTCTATTTTACGCTAGTATTCTGTGAGAGCGTGTTACAACTATACTACTAATATAATTGCAGCATGGCTCTACCACGTATAAAATTATAACGTAAATAATTCAGACTACTCCCACCTGCACTAGAAAATCTTGTCAGTACAATTTTTTGCAATTGCAAAAACTAAATTAGATTGTTTTGCTCACTAGCCTGAACCAGTTATCAAGGTTAATCGTGCTCCAAAGTTGAATTGCCATTAGATGAGGATTCTTACGATATCAGCGAGGAGACATCTATATCGCTCTTCGAACAGTTCATATGTATCCAAGAAAAAGAAGAAGAAGAAAAAGGAGACATTACATATTGGCTTGGAGACAGACCAATAATTTTCCCTAATTAAGGCAGACACAAACTGGTCCCACGAAGGCAACGTACGCAACGCATTATGACATCTCAAAGCTTGATTTTGTATGAAAAACTATACATTGGAAACACACTTATCGTATGCAACGCAATTACATTTTATACAAAATATATATAAAATATCATCATCTAGAAATGTCTACTATGATAGAAAGTACTCAAGTAATCGATGATAAAACCAATGTCGCTTACTTTGCATTGAAAAATCTATTAGAATTTTTTTGTAAAGGGACGTAATAGTAAGTTAAAAAAGCGACGACGCGACGTCGCGACAAAATCCCTAAAGTTAGTTTCATTTGATAAAAAAGTTTTATTAAGTGTATTATCCGCGACAATTTAAGCCCATATATCACATCATGTACAGTGAGTTTAACAAATTGTAACACCTACGAAAAATTCAATTGAAAAGCGGAGAAAATTGTCGTTTAAAGACGAAGAGCAAACAGCCAATTTACCAGATAAAAATAACAGACATAAATACAAATAACGACCTTAGTTAAAACGTAAAAAGTAAAGTTACGGTCTATATACGTCCCACTGATGGGCACAGGCCTCCCCTGAATTCTGAAAGGGTTTTAGGGCAAGGAAGTGTCCGCCATGCTGCCCCAATGCGTGATGGCAAAATTCACATGTCTTCGAAATATTTTTTTGTCTTATTCCTCAGACACGCAGGTTTCCTCACGATGTTTTCCTTCACCGCCGAGCACGTGGTAAATCAGCACTTAAAACTGCAATTAACAATTTCATTAGTGCCGGCGGGGATCGAACCCGGGTTAGTAATAACAGAACGCGTTCTCTTATATTTACAGCGAGCGTTAACCATCTGAGCTACCACGGTGAGTTAAAACGTGTTTTTGGAAAATTACATTTAGGTATAAAACATATAATATGTGTATTACGCTAAAGTGCCTCTTCCTATATTATTTAAATATGATACTTCTCGTATGTAACTCTATCAACCTCATACAGACATAATCAACCAAAACGTCCATTCGAATAATATATTTACGATAACTTGTTACCATAATAGTCTCGTGGCGCCGCGCTGTGGGCAGTATCGATAATATTCACGTAGAGTAGCTGTTTCGAGTTACCTGATACGGTCACTAATACAACTCCGAACAATATTTTAATTTTAATGCGTCATAATTTATGTAGAGTTAAATAAGAACTTAAAAAAAAATAGTGTTATGAAAATTAAACCTATCAGTGGCGTATAGCCCCGAGCGGCAGACTTCAGGGCGCGTCATTTTTAGAAAGAAAAATCAGCTACTCGCCTTAATTTTTTAATTAAGATTCCTAAAATCTCTATTTTTTAATAGAAATTACCGTTCTGTACGCACAAACTTGTCAATGGTAGGAATAGATATATAAATACATTGTATTATTATATTCACGTTCAAATAATGAACAAAGACAGAAAGACAACGATTTTATAATATTTTAAAGTACTTGTGAAAATTAGGGGAGGAAAAGGGGCGGGACTTTTGGCTATAGCAAAAAATGCCGCCGTCGCGTTATGCGTCGACTTCGTTAGAATCTGAATTTCACCTTAACAATTTAGTACAGAGTATGTGTACTGATACTATAATATGTTTTAATAAAAACCACTATTGTACTTTTTAACTTCCAATATTAACAAGTTTACGTTTCAAGTGAACTCGCATGTAAAGAAAATATTACTAAATATATCAAAATTTAAAAATTCGAAGAACAATTAAAAATAACTACAAAGCAAGCGATACACTGTTTCTTAATTTATTGTTTCCAGTTATTTACACAGGTGTTTTGAATAACATGTAAACAATAAGATCGCAATCCAATAGCAAATTAAAATATGCAATTATAATAATGCGAATACAAAAATATTTCAAATATTATGAACTTTTTAATAGATAGCGTTATAAATGAAACTTTTATAACGCCATCTATTAAAAATACGTCGAAGTTAAACTTATTCTTGTGCAGTCTGCTGCCATCTGTTATGAAACCACTAATATGGTTCTTTTTCTCACCGTTAAGACGGAGGCGGCGCTGTCGTCGCATTCTTACAGATAAGCTGTCCCAATCGTCATCCATGTTTGGTTGTCCTTCTCTTTCAACTGTGCACAAATACATTTTATTAAAATTAAGATTCAATAAATTCAATATCAGAATACGTAAAGTAAATAAATTTTACAGTATGCGAATTACCCGGATTCGATATCAGCCAGCAACAATGAAATTGTTAGTGTCAATTTTAAGTGCTAATTTACCACGTGCTCGGTGGCAAAGAAAAAAAATCTTCAAGAAACCTGCATGTATAGGGAATAAAATATTTAGAGAAATTGTAAAGTCAGCCAACAGAACAGAGAAATCCACTTTTTCTGCCACCAGGGCGACGCCACTCAAAAATGAGGTGTAATATTTGACAAATTTCATAGCGGGGAAGTTAAATTGTTCGAAAAATGTAAAGGTTAATGTTTCTTTCTTTACTATTAGTAATACTTTATATAAATAAGTTCGAGACGTATCTAAGAGGCAGCAAAGTAATAATATTAACAGATCATAAAGCATTATTGTTTATGATTAATATAAAATTATTCCACGGTCGAGTCACTCGATGGATTTATTAAAAAAAAAAACCGAACCACAGAAAAGTAGAAAATTTAAAAATGGATTAAAATGTTCCAAAATATTAAAGAGCAAACCACTGAGGAATTGTTTTGTGTAATGCTGTAGAACTGATAAAATTTATTTCTTTTCAGTTTTCTTCATTCTCAGTCAGTTTTATAACTTATCAATGACATTGTCAAATTTCGTTAACTAGCGACATCTGGTGAGCGGAAGATTAGTAGCCCTCATTGCCTGTCCAGCCATAATGTACAGGGAATATATGTATATATATATATATATATATATATATATATATATATATATATGTCCAGGGAGTGGAACGTATATAGACTGTAACTTTATATATTAACATATTACAAATGATAAGGGAGATATAAGGATATTGAACGAGTGATTGCAGGAAATAAAGTAAATGAGGCTCTACACTCTATTGTGAAAAGTCAGAATGTGTCAAAAAAGGCACGTATGGCAATTCACAATGCTGTATTAGTCCCTACTTTAACGTATGGTAGTGAAAGTTGGGTGTGGCAGAAGAAGCACGAGAGTAGAATAAATGCAGTAGAAATGCGGTCGCTAAGGAGTATGTTAGGGCTGAATCTAAGTGACAGCGTGAGAAACTGTAATAAAAGAAGAGTGTGGTTTGCAAGATGATGCGGTGACCAGGATTAAGAAAGGAATGCTTCGGTGGTTGGTCACGTAGAAAGAATGAATGAGGAAAGACTGACAAAGCAAATATATGTTGAAGAAGTGAATGGAAGAGTCGGAAAGGGACGTCCTAGGCGAAAGTTTGTCGACCAAATTAGCGATATACTACTAAAAATGGGCCAAATTAAGAGTACCCTTAACCGACCAGCATGTATGCGTAGGTATATGGATGTGGAAGAGCCGAGAGAGGTATGTCAGGATCGTGCTAAATGGAAGTCTGTAGTCTCTGTCTACCCCTCTGGGTGACAGGCGTGAGTGTTTATGTTTATGTTTTTTTTTATATTACAAATATTTGACCAAACAGGTCTTAATTTAAATATCAAAAACGATTGAAGATTTTTATAAAATAAGCGGTAAGCGTATACTAGACTTTAAAGACCGCAACCTTCTTCCGTGCGCGTCCGTGAGTGAAGTTGCGTGGCGACGCGCAGGCCGCCCGCCATCAGATCAGTCGTATGCTCGAGATCCACACGCTTACGTCGCTCCGTACCGCCCTTCTCTTCAATCACGCTCTCGTTGCTCGCTATCGAACGTGCCTAGTATATGAATAAAAACATATTAGATATACTTACATTTAAAACATTGGAACTTCAAATTGCGAAATTAATTGCGATGAATCAATGTAGTAGAGCCATGCTGCATATTATAATTGTAACAGAAATAGGTCGGCACGACCGTGGAAGGACTACGCTCTCCGCTACCATCGTGAAATAACAGTTTAATGCTGCTGTGTTTCGTATGGTGAATGTAGAGTACCGGACACCTTTTTAACTGGAAACGAGGCATTCCATCCTAGTACTCAGGGGTGACAACGCATCTGCATTTTAATTCTGAATTGAGGATATATGTAAATGTCTACGGGCCTCAGCATCTACTTACCATCAAGGGGACAGTGCTCGCTTGTTATGCCTATTCACTATATAAAAAAGTGAAAGAAATTACCTTATCTTTTACTTAAATGTCTAAAATATCTTTGCCACCTGCTCAGTAGTGGAAGATATCATCGTAAGGCTACTTGCATGGTTGAGAAATGAAAAACTTCAAGGATATTTAACACTTACCACTACACTTTGAAGCACAGGGGCTCCTCTCTGCCCCAAAAGACTTCCAGAAATAAAAATTTGCCAAACATTGGAACATAATAAATATATAAATCACTTTGTAAAGTAACTATAGACCACACAACATAGCGGTGGTTCTTATCAAAATCTTTTTCTTAATTCTAAAGCCTTACCTCTTCTTTTGGTTCCTCGTCACACAACCGCTCTTCCTCCCTGGTGTGACGTGTCTCCGTCACGATCGTTCCATCCGGCCGCAGTGCTCGCAGTTCTTCCTAAAAAACAAATTTTCTGTCGTTAATGTAAGTTTAATTACGACTAGTAACGATAGCTTTTTTTTAATTCTCATTAAAATTTTTGAGCATTATGCAAAGGGTTTTAAAATCCCTTCCAGATTTGTTTATTTTTTTAACTCCGTACTTAAAAATCGATAACATTTACACATTTTGTGATAAAGACAGATATTTAGAAATATAACATGCAATATGTTTTAAATGATAATAATAAAAGTATATAATCAAAATTTTATATATATATATATATATATATATATATATATATATATATATATATATATATATATATATAGCCGTGTAGTGGCGGTTGAGAATATCCACTACCCCATATCTTCCCGTGGGTGTCGTAAAAGGCGACAGAGGGAGACAGGCAGGAGATGGGCAGCAGCATCTTCCTGATAACAACTGTGACGTAATAAAAAAACTGCGGTCGCCAACCCGCTCGCCAAGCGTGGCAACTATGGCAAATAACCCCCAATGAATAAATACACAAACAGACGGCCCCCAGTCCCCGGCGGCCCCGCTATTCCTGGCTACGGTGGCGACCATGGTAACGGCGGGGCAGGGGGTGCTAAGAATCTCCGGTGGAGGTTCGGTTGCCACCTACGATGACTCGACCTGGCAACATATAACGCACGCACCCTGAGGACTGACGAGAAGATACTAGAGCTGGAAGAAGAGGTAGACAAGTTGCGCTGGCATATTATTGGATTATCCGAGGTCCGAAGAGAGGGGGAGGACACGGCAATCCTCGAGTCCGGCAACTTGTTCTATCACCGGGAGGGCGACCATCTGTCCCAAGGAGGTGTTGGATTTATCGTCCACAAGTCTCTCGTCAACAACGTTGTAAAGATTGGGAGTGTGTCGACGAGGGTCGCGTACCTGATACTCAGAATCACCAAACGGTATTCGCTGAAGGTCATTCAGGTTTACGCACCAACCTCGGCACATCCCGATGAGGAGGTGGAGGAAATGTATGAGGATATTTCCAGAGCCATACATTCCTCCAAAACCCACTACACGGTGTTGATGGGAGACTTCAACGCAAAACTAGGCACAAGAGAAAGCGGTGAGCTGAAGGTAGGGAAATTTGGAGTAGGGCAACGGAACCGAAGGGGCCAGCAGCTGGCCGACTTTATGGAGAAAGAGGGACTCTTTATGATGAACTCTTTCTTCCAGAAGCGGCCCCACAGGAAGTGGACCTGGTCGAGCCCCGACGGTTCGACAAAAAATGAGATTGACTTCATTATGACGACCAGACGCCAACTGTTCAGTGATGTCTCAGTGATCGCAAGGGTGAAAACTGGCAGCGATCACCGAATGGTTAGAGGCACACTGAACCTAAACGTTAAGTTGGAGAGGTCTCGTCTAATGAAGTCAACGCTCCGTCCCCCTCGTGCTCTAATCCAGAATCCCGAAACCTTTCAGCTCGAGTTACGTAACCGCTTCCAGTGCCTAGAAGATTGCAATGCAGTGGACGATATGAACGACAAGCTCGTGGAAACTGTCCATGCGGTCGGAGCTAAGTTCTGCAAGACCCGCCGCAGAAGAACACAAAAACTCTCCGATCACACTCTTAATCTCATGGCTGTTAGACGGGAGATGAGGCTGCAATCGTCAACAGATTTGACAGCATACAGGCAACTGAACAGACAGATCTCCAAATGCATGCGGCGAGACTTACGCAACTTTAATACTTCTCGTATTAAAGAAGCGATCGAGCGGAACCAGGGCTCCAAAGTCTTTGCCAGAGATCTGTCTGCCAGAAAGAGCCAACTGTCAAAGCTGAAGACTGAGTGTGGCAACATCGTTTCCGGGACGCCTGAGATTTTGAGTGAGATTGAGAGGTTCTATGGGCAGCTGTACACATCATCGTTGGAGCCACACGCAAGTGTGAGTAACGATCCAAGAGCAAGTCTTATCCGACACTATTCCGATGATATCCCGGACGTCAGTCTGAGCGAGATTAGAGTGGCTCTCCACCACCTTAAAAACGGCAAGGCCCCGGGCGAGGATGGAATTACAGCGGAGCTTCTGAAAGCGGGTGGAAAACCGGTACTTGAAGTCCTTCGGAAGCTCTTCAATTCCGTCCTCCATGGTGGCACTACTCCGGAGGCGTGGAGCAGAAGCGCGGTGGTTTTGTTCTTTAAGAAAGGCGACAACGCTCTCTTGAAGAACTACAGACCGATTTCCCTTCTGAGCCGCGTCTACATGCTATTTTTGAGGGTCATTACGAATCGTCTCGCACGCAGACTCGACGACTTCCAGCCTCCCGAACAAGCCGGTTTCCGAAAAGGCTTCAGTACCATAGACCACATACATACCCTGCGGCAGATTGTACAGAAGACCGAAGAGTACAATCTGCCACTTTGCATGGCATATGTGGACTATGAGAAAGCCTTTGATTCCGTCGAAATTTGGGCGGTGCTACAGTCCCTTCAGCGGTGCCAAGTTGACTGTCGGTACATCGAAGTGCTGAAGTGTTTGTACAGTAGGGCTACGATGGCTATCCGAGTACAGAACCAGAGTTCGAAACCTATCCAACTGCAGAGAGGTGTAAGACAGGGTGATGTTATATCCCCGAAACTCTTCACCGCTGCGTTGGAAGACGTTTTCAAGCTACTGGACTGGAAAGGATACGGTATTAATATCAATGGCGAGTACACCACTCACCTTCGATTTGTCGACGATATAGTCATTATGGCAGAATCGCTGGAGGACTTAAGCATTATGCTCAATGACCTCAATAGTGCCTCCCAACGGATAGGTCTTAAGATGAACATGGACAAAACAAAGATCATGTTTAATGTCCATGTCACACCTATGCCGGTAGTTGTTGGGAGCACTATGCTCGAAGTTGTTGACGAGTACGTTTACCTGGGACAAATAGTCCGACTAGGTAAGTCCAACTTCGACCGAGAGGTCAATCGACGGATTCAACTCGGCTGGGCAGCGTTCGGGAAATTACGACATATCTTTTCGTCAGGTATACCTCAATCTCTAAAAACTAGATTGTACAACCAGTGCGTGTTGCCAGTGATGACTTACGGATCTGAGACGTGGTCCTTCACTGCTGGCCGTATGAGGACGCTTAAGGTCGCTCAGCGAGCTATGGAGAGGGCTATGCTTGGAGTTTCTCTGCGTGATAGACTCAGAAATGAGGATATCCGCAGTAAAACCAGAGTTACCGACATAGCCCAACGGATTAGTAAGCTGAAGTGGCAATGGGCCGGCCATATAGCTCGAAGAACCGATAACCGATGGGGAAGAAAGGTTCTCGAGTGGCAGCCTCGTACCGGTAGGCGTAGTGTAGGGCGACCCCCCACTAGATGGAGTGACGACCTGGTAAGACATGCAGGAAGTCGATGGATGCAGGTGGCTCAGGACCGTGCTTTGTGACATTACTTGGGGGAGGCCTATGTTCAGCAGTGGACTTGTGAAGGGCTGTAATGATGATGATATATATATATATATATATATATATATATATATATATATATATATATATATATATATATATAAATGTGTGTGTTGTGTGTGTGTGTGTGTCTCACTATTCCGCTTTTACAGTAAATTCTCTGTTTCTTCGTCATGTAATTTCATAAGCCAATCTGTTAATTTTTTCTTACATTTATATTTTATTAGTTATAAATTGAGTGTTTTTTATTAACTTTATTATATAACCTGCCTATTCCGTACCCATAAAACTTTTGGACGAAAGTAGATTTTGCTTGTTTTTGTGTGTTGTAGATCGTTTCACATACCTCATAATTTCTTCTCCTAGTTTGTAGTAAATTGGGTGTTTCGTGCTGTAAGAACGTTAGCTTCACTGAATAAACTGGTTGTTAAGAAAAATTTTGGTTTATAAAGTGCAACTTTTAAAATCATTCGTTGAGTTCTTTCCAATTCAAGCATGTGTGTTTTATTGGAACAGTAATACCGTAGGTTAATATATTTTGGCACAAAGATATATAAACAGTTTTTAGCAATATCCAGTTTGTGACATGTCTTAAGTTTTTAAAAATGTAAGTTAGTTTTCTGACTCTTTGGGTTAAATTTCTTATGTGTGCTTTGGAATTTAAGATTGTTATCTATTGTTATTCCTAAATATTTGATTTCTTGTGTATTTATTATATTAAAGCAGTTGCAGTTTGAACTAGGAAACTGAAAACATGAATGAGCTATAATTTTATAATTGCTAATAAATTTTGGTAATTTTCGAATCGAGAACGTAATATATTTGGTTTTATCAACATTAAGTGAAAGTGAATTTGTTGCTAGCCACTGACAGACGGTATTAAAACCTTCTTGTGCAATGTTAAAAACTTCTTCCCATGAATCCCCATAAAAAGTTAGTGTAGTATCATCGGCATACGATATTATTTTACAATTTTTTATATTTAAGTTACAAAGTTCATTAATGTAGCATAAAATATAGCGTTGGGCCAAGCATACGCCTTGTGGGATGTCGTAACTAATGGGTTGTTCAATCGATTAACTATGTTACCTATCCGAACGCTCTGTGTTCGATTATGTAAATAATCCATAAGAAGTAGTAACTGTTTGTCCCTTATGCCCATCATTTCTAGTTTTTCAGAAAACATAGCGAAATGAACTGTATCAAACGCTTTTAGAAGGTCAATAAAAATGGTTAGGCATTTTTTTTACTATCCAATTTCTCAACAATAAAACTAGTTAAGGCGTGTACAGCATCAGTTGTTGACTTTCCCTTTCTAAAACCGTATTAAATCATTATTATTAATCAAGCTGTTAGCTTTCCATATATAATACATATAAATAGGTTAAGTAATATAAATAAATAATAAAACTTGAATTTGTTTCTCACCGTGTCATCAGTCTTGATAGTGGTATTATATGCTACGGTATCCTTGATGAGCTCAGGGCCTCGGGGCACCAGCGCCAGCTGATTTTCTGTCTGTACCTTCAGAGCATCTCGGATATCTTCTTCAGAAGTCTCATTCACGGCTGCTATTAACGCCTAGAGCCAAAGAAAAGCCGTTATAAATTTTTGGATCGTTTGACTTTTGAGCATGTTACACAAATATATTATACCATTTTACTTTTAATTCTACAAAATTAACTTTATTTGAGAGAGTACAGTGCAAGTGCAGTTCGTTTGTACATGTTAAATTACAGGTTAAGGCTGTAGCACGAATGTTTCGGTTTAACCGGGATAGGACCACGCTTACATAGAGTAGCAGCATAAAATAGCATCATGATGCTGCTGAATTACGTATGGTGAGTGACAATAACAGGATACACTTTTTTATTGGTGGCGATGCATTATATGTGGTGTTCTGTTGATAAACAATTTGTAATACATAATAATTTGAAAGATAGTAATAAAATTGCTGATCCGAAATTAATATATTTGGATTCATTTAATTTATACATTAATTACAGCCTCTTATGTAGCAATCTGGAGGAGATCTATGTTCACCGGTGGACTGTAACGTACTTTTTACATGTAAGTTGCGGCAATTTTACGTTTTCCCATTTCTAATGAAAACTACAAGTAGGTATGTTCTGCAAAATTTAGGGGGTCGTCTACTTCCCTTTAATAGGGTTTAGGAAATAAGGTTTAGGAAATAGGGTTTAGGACATAGGGTTTAGTAAATAGGGTTTAGGAAAGGTATTGTCTGTCACATGCGTCATATTTGTGAATAAATGGGCTTGCGGGGGCTGGTCTGTCCGATCAGGTTATTTGTATTTCATACAAAAAAATTTCTCTGGCTTTTTTTTTTAAAATAAGAAGATTTTTATAAAAACAACACAAAAAAATAAAAAAGAAAAAAAAAAAATTTTTTTTTAAAAAAATAAAAAAAAAAGTTTAACTCCGCCTGTCAACGTTGAGGATATTAGAAAAAAAAAAAAAAAAATTGGTTTTTAATAGGGAGAAAAAAAAAAAAAAATAAAAAACAACACACCAAAAACACCAAAAAAAAACAAAACAACCCCACGGGGGTGGGTGTTTATTAAACTAGAAAAAAAAAAAAAATTTAATTTTTTGAAAAAACTGCAAGAATTCAAGATACCATAAGTTCATACTGTGTAGATCGGAACAAAAGTTAAATTTTAATCTATGGTAACCGCGATTAACTATGACATCTGGACGTTGAAAATCTCAGTCCCAACCCCGTGACCATGGGTGCTGTAAAGTGCTCGAAACGTCGGGTATTTAAAAAGTTAAATATACGCGATAAAATCGGTAAAATCTAGTACAATTTTCTATAGGTTATATTTTATATAGGAAAATCAGTCCGAATTGCAGTTGTTTCTGTCGTTTGCCTCCATAAAGCGACATAGGCCACCGGCGCGGCGGTCCGGAGGTTTCCTCGGTCGTTTGGACACAGCGTGATAGCAGTAGATCGTAAAAGCATATTCATCAAACTTCTTGTAACATGGATATTTTTTTAAATACAAAAAAAGTGAATAAGTACACATGTAAATTAGCTAAATGGAACTGGTTTTAAATACATAAGCATACATTGCTTATTATTAAAAATAAACTAAATGTGTCATGAAAGTCGCCCAAATTTAATATAACAATGACACAGCGTAAATTTTACAAAAACGCTGCAAATTACTGGGCCAAAGTTCCAGCAACGGTAAATGGCGTTCTTGGCGGTTTTGGTCACATTTCGGACATTGACATAGGTGGATCTAGAACATTTCTGAATCATTTATTATCACTTCAAGACCCACCAAATACAAATATCGCATTGGACTGCGGAGCAGGTATTGGACGAGTGAGTAAAAAATTACTGATTTCTTATTTTAACAAAGTCGATTTGGTAGAGCAAGATGAAAAATTCATTAACACTGCAAAAAAAATTATCGGTGAAGATAACGCGAAACTTGGAACAATATATAATCTTAGTCTTCAACATTTCAAACCAGAAAAAATGTATGACATAATTTGGTGTCAATGGATTCTTGGATATTTGAACGATTACGATCTCATAAATTTCTTAATAAGATGTAGCAAGTCCCTCACAACGAATGGATTGATCATCGTCAAAGAGAACATAACATCGTCGAACGAACTCGTTTATGATGAGAAAGACTATTCTGTCACTCGACCTTACGAATTGATGTTAATGTTATTCGATGCAGCTTGTCTTGAAATAGTTAAAACCGAAGTACAAGTTGATTTTCCTGATGAAATCTATTCTGTACATATGTTCGCTTTAAAACCAAAGTAGAATAATATTAGATCACTATGTCTTCGAATATTTGTATTAGGTTATTAATTTATATAAAAATTAATATCCGACTAATTTTTTTTTAATTTATGGAAGCTGACTACGATATAACTAAACTACAGTATACGATTCCGTCTAAATTAAATATTACTTTAATCAGACATGACAGCTTTTATAAAACCTTAGCTTTATAACGGATAACCGCAAGAAATTCTACATCATGCTCATACTGAATGGGGGCTTATCTTTGATGAAGTAGCGAATCGTGGGCAGAATTCGTGATTGCATCGTTTAATAAAGTTGGATCTTGAACGTGCCATGGCAGCACTATGATATCAGCAAGTGCATTCACCGTTTAAGCGCAGAACTTGCGAAATTCTTGCTTTGGACACAATTTGGAACTATCATATTTTAAGCAAATCGTTTAAAAACTATAAATAATGATGAAATTGCACGTCCTTTGGGAAATTATGTTTATCATTCAAGAATCATATTCACTACTACAACCTGTCGTAACCCGATATTGTTGTACAATAAACAAAATTGTAATAATTCTAAAAATGACATGATACTGAAAAGAAATCATGAACACAAAAAACGAAACTAAACGAAGTAAGGCAAACGAACGAAGTTAAGCGAAAAATTTGTTGTCAATCTTTTAGCAGCACATTTTTATATAATGGTTTTTAAATACCATAAAGTAATAAACCATTGTCAACCAATGATAACGAACTATATAGCGTAGATCTCAGCAAAGTTCAACAGAAGAATTTAATCACCAGCAGGGACATATTTTGAATAAGAAATGAAACATATAAAATAATAACAATCTTGTGGAGAATTATAAATGATTAGTGATACTCCTTGGCTTCGCACGGGTGATTTCTGAATCTCGAAAACAGCGCCACCTACCGGGTCCAAATATGAATATAAGCCATCTAGGGACCCATTTAAACACATTTTTGCACATTTAAACACACAACAAAGTTTAATCAAAATTGGATGGTTTCAAAGTCTATAACGGACATAGGTAGAAACAATTTTTGTGTTTTTAATAGATAGACAATGGATGTGAAATAAGAGCTGATACGCAATAACAAGCTTTTAATGATATTCTATCAATAATTAACTGGAGGACCGATCCTATCAGAGAACAGTTAGCGAGTGTATTTATTAAGATAAGTACAGTTATGTTCGAGTCGTGGAAATAAAGACGTGACAGTGTCCTATTAATGTTTGTGATTATAATATAGTTGGTCCTTAATCCAAACTACCAGTGCGAAAAAATTAATTAATACATTTTCCATATATTAAATATAAAAATAAAAACATTCACATAGACAATTGTTTTCTTCTATTGTGTTGTTTAAATAAAACGAAATACATTATCATTAACTGCAAAATATCGGTATTTGCACTATTATATACAGCAAGATTTTGATGATTCTTTTTTTATTTGGAAACTGGTGCTTCTCGTGTGATACCATATAAATTTAATCAAGATCTGACCAGAAGCTTTTGAGTTATTCTTAATAATGCGTATTTAATTGACTTCAAAAACACTGATGTTGTTCTCACTTTAATTATATTGAAGTCGGTTGTAAAAATAATTTTACCACTTTATGCATAAACTACGGTAGATTCACAGTGCAGATTAAAAAATCGCAAATCATGAATAGCTGTATATTATATAGCTGTATAGTATATTGGAGGTAATGTAGTAAAAAAAAAAGAATAACAATCATTATCATTATTAACTGGTAATGTGTTATGGAATTTCATTTCGGCGCTTTGATTCTTGGCTCAATTAACGGTTAAATACGACAATTCAATCGTATATAGAATAACTTGAAAAAATTACAATAAGACTGCTTTTATTGGAAGTTCCAATACATCTCACAGAATACCAGCTTAAAAAAGCAGCTTAGTACTGATGTGTTTCGTGTAATGAGTGTAGAGAACCGGAGACCCTTTTTACTGGATACGAGGCATCCCATCCTGGTCCTCAGTGGTGGCAACACATTTGTATTTTGATTCGTAATTGGGGATAGGTGTAAATGTCTATGGGCCACAGCATCCACTTACCATCAGCATATACTGTGCCATCAGGTGGACTGCGTGCTTGTTTGTCACATTTGTTCTATAAAATGACACATATGTTAAGTATCATAGTTTTTTTAATTATATTTTTTAACTCATGAGAGGAGTCGTAAGTCGACAGAGGAAAACCGAAACAGGTGATGGGATGGTGATAATTGAGTTATTGTCACGACAAAAAGCTGCGTTTGCGAACCGGCCTACCGAGTGTGGCAACTTTGGCAAATCCCCTCTATGAGGCAAACTATGAGAGAGGCACGAATATGTACAGCAGACAAATATTTTAGGCTGTAATATATGTTATGCACATATAGGAGTATTTTGTTACTGAGATAATTTAAACGGTACATTCAGTTTACATACTAACAAACTATAACATACAGCAACTTATTGTATAACTTCTAAGTTTTGTTATGTATTCTAAATAAAATACAGTATCAGTAAGATCATTTAAATTACTAAAGATGTTGATACACATTTTTGAAACGTACCTTCAGGGCGTTTAGGATATAGACATTACCCCACAGCTGCTATAGCTGCACGTATAAAATTTCTTTTTGTTGTTTTTTTTTTCTTAAATTGTAATTGCGTTGTGAAAATATAACTTAGCACACCAAATGTAACGTACAGTAAACGTAATCTATAGTACTGTTACGAGCTTGAGGTTCGTGACAAT